CTTCCATCTTGGGGTCTCTAAAAACATTCTAAGCTTATTTATTCTATAACTTGGAATGGAGGATGTCGTATCCTTCTTCACTGTCTACGGTGATAATTGTGACATTTCCTTGACAACCTGCATATTCATCCTTCTTAACGGTGTTCTTTCTGTTTTCAATACTTTGTAAATCTATACCTGGGTGAAAGTGCCTTTCTACCTCTACCTCATATCCAGCATCACATGTTGGTTCCATGCTATGTTTCTTTGCTTCCTTGCTTCCAAGCCACTCATAGTCTTCATCTGTGTGCGTGTAATTCCTTCTTTCTTTGGTTATTGGATCATACACAATATGGTGCATGAACGTGAGTTTAGCCCTATGAAATCTATGGATGTATCCTTCAGGCACATCCATCTTGTATTGCAACTCTTTAACTAGCTCCTCAACACTTCCATGCTTTTCATAGAATTTCAATGCTTTTTTAAGTCCAATTCCTTTGATTGAACTCAAATAGTCACAGCCACTCAAAATGCAGATTTCCATGAGATTATCAGCAAAAAACGATCCAAGACTCTCAGTCAACAGGGCACCATTGAATTCATCCACATATAACCCATTGAATTTGAATAGAATACTGGTGGCACCATAGACAATCAGGTCTGAGTCTTCTGTCATCACGTGGTCAACGTATCCAATTCGATTCAGGTACGCCATTTGGGCATCTGCTTCATACGGTGCAATGATGTATTCGATGTCTTGCTTCTCCAATTCCTGTAGAAATTCGTAAACAAGCCATGATTCAATCTTAATTGCTCTTTTCACTAATTCTCTTGCCCGATGGCTGTCTCCTTCTTCAATGGCCATTTCCATTTCAACCCTGGCTTTGTCTCGAATATTTTGCCTGTTTTCAGATGTCTCCTGTTTTGCAGCAATTAGGTCACCATCGAATACGAATATAGGCACAATACCGTGTTTAGTGAGACTATTGATCTTGTTCCTGAACATGTTGATGTATTTCTTAGTATCGAGTTTGTTGTATATTTCATAGGCGCAATTAGATGCAATAGCATGAATCCAACAGAATGCATCCACAGAGACTCGTTTCTTTCTGTATTCACTGATTGGCACTCTTCTGATAGCCTTCCTTACCATTGGTAGCAAACCTGTAATACCCATTGGAAAAATAGGCAAAAAATAATGAATTTTTGTAACTACCTCATTTATGAAT